CTCCCCCCTCCCCTCTACTATTTACCAGAGAGGTGTGGGATGGCCCAATATTTCCAGTTTTAGCCCGGGAGCTTCGCTCGGGGGACGAGAGCACCGTTTTCACCCCCCTTCCTCCATTCCAGTCCATCACAGCTTATCCTGATTGGCAGCTGTCTCAGATACTGAACAATTTGGCTCCTGAGAGCTCTGTCACACTTCTACTGCCAGCTTAGTGGAAAATCATGCAGGCAAGCGCATTGTGGACTTACGCTTCCTGAAAACTTACCAAGTCTCGGTGTATGAACTGGTGACTCTCAAGAAAAGTCATTGCTTCACAAACATGGTAACACATCTCCACAAGCTGAGGCTGAGGTAATTTTTTTCCATGGCTTTTTAAATAGTCAATCAAGCAGCCGTTAGCCATGTATTCGGCCACTATATACATGGGAAACAATTTGGTGCACACTCCATATAGTTTTACAAGTTTGGGGTGGTCCAGCTTCCTAAAACAAAGTAGCGGTTTATAAAATTTATACATTATTGATTTTAAAGACCACAGAATAATTAATAATACAAACTTTATAATTAAGCAATACTAAATAATTGCATAGATGAGATAAAAATTTGGAGGAAACGTTCCATGTACTCCGACCCTAGCACCAGGCTGCTCCCAGATGTTCAATTGGCCTAAGCTCTTTGCACCTCCATTTTTTGTGACAAAAGTGATCCATTGAAGGAAACAGATCACTTTTTATCAGTCTAAACTGCAGACTGCAAAGCACGCTTCCCTGGGAAAAAATTTGATATCTGAGGTGCTCCTCCTGAGAAAAGCTTCTTCTTAGTAGCCATTGACCTTGCCTCAAAGGGCAGCATTCTTGATTTAAAATAGGGCCTTTAAGAAAAGCCATTGCTTACATCATGGTTTCAGCCTCTTCAAGGAATTCATCGTCAGACATTGATGCCTCCTTGATCATTTTAACAGCCACATCATATTTTCCTTTCCACCTTCCCCTCTTCACCACTCCAAAATATCCACTCCCTATCTCTTCCCCTAAAACAATCTCTTCGCGGTTAAGCTCCCAGGTTCCTAATGTGAAAAAATAATTGGTATTAGTTCAGCAAATTATTTCACTGGCAAAAAATTATCTGCTTAGTTAATTCCAGTCCAGCACAAAAATATCCTTTTGAAAAGAGCAGTCATTGCATTACCTTTGTCCAGTGGTACAGGTGGTAGAAGGCTTGCCTTTGGAGACACTGCATGTCGGAGTCTTGTGACCATACCTGGAAATAAGTTTATTTATTATTCATAACTATCATTTAAACTTGGTGTGTCTAAATAAGTCCACATCCCACTCCCAAAGGGGTGCATCCAATAGTGGCTTTATGCTAGCCAAAATAACATCTGCTTATGCACAGATATGCTACTAATGCCTGCCCATCTTCCTGCAACTCCTAGATATGCAACCCCATCATACCCTTGATTCTGTTCTGAATCTTCCTGGTTTTGTCACTTTGTCTGTGATTCTCAGCCATGTGTCCATCATACAAACTGTATAGCAGTAATTCTTACAATTTTTCTCTTGAGCTGTAATCTAATATACTCTTGCAAGGGACTGAATTCTGTATGAAATCTTGTATCCTTGAGAAGGATTAAATCCTGTATGAAACATGGGAAACTGAGGGTGGGACATAATGGCTTGCATATGGTAGCCAAATCACCCAGAGGAATAAGCAAGGATAGAAAAGGGATTTCCTCCTTCCATTCTTAGGCTATGATTGTAAACAAACTTACTAAACAAACTTAAAACAAGATGTTGAAACAGGGAAGCTAACATGCTGAGCACATGAAAACATGAAACGCTAAACAACATTACCTGCTGAATTGTGTTGATGATAGTCAATAAGTTTGGGAAGTGAACTGAAACAGTAATTCTCAGCCAGGTAGAACTGATTTGCATTGTTGACATGAACATGATAATGTTTTACTGTTCCTTTTTCAGTGCTGAAAATAATGGTAACAAAGAATAATTACTGTGGAAAATCCCATCAAATGTCAGAAAAAGGAGAAGATGCTTCTAGAACATATTTTAATACTTGGAAGAACTCTTAAGAGAGTGAGCTTCTACACCAGCCTTTGCTCCCTTCCAGATGTGTTAATCTACAAATACTATCAAAAAATAATACTAGTGGATTATAGGAGTCTGTAATTTCAGTTTTCCTATAAACCTCTTGAAGGCATTTTAAAAAGTAAAATTCAAATTGGTCTAATTTAGTTAGAACTGTATGAGAACCAAAGATAGGGGAAGGCATGTCAAAAAAGTGAATATGGTGGTTGTGAACATACAATCAAAGCCCTACTTCTTTTCTATGTGTGTCAATGTACAAGGGTGGTACTTTGATCACATGGTTGTGACTGCCACCTTCCTTTTTTTGATACCTTTGCAGATGCCTGATGAGAAGTGATGTAAGAACTAGAATAGATTGATTTACATGTGCTAAGACAAGACTGAAATGGTAATGCACGTGATGTAATGTAGATGCAGGACACATTTTCTTCACATACATTGCCTGCTTACCTAGAAGTCATGCTGAGCACTGACACAGTGTGTTTTCCCACATGACTGGAATTGCGAACCATGAAAGCACCTTCTTTCCCCTTTCAATAAAAAGAAGACTAGAAATGAATTTTTATTGTAGTGTTATTCATAAAATGATAGACATCTCTGATTAAATGAGGGCATGTTGCTTTTTTAACATGCAGTTAAACTGTGCTTTTGACTTCCACGTGATTCCTTGGGCTTCAGCAGTAATAAAAACAAATAAAAACATTCTGGGCCAACATTGCTCTCAAATTATCTGCCATACTTCTTTCTTCAACAATACTGTCTAATCCCAGAAAGCATGAGACAAATAACTACTCCAGAGCAAGCCACAAGGAAACCAGTCAAAAAATGCAGGGATTTTTAAACATCACCTTCTCCTGTAGCAGTTGTTCTGCCTGGACCCTTGAGAGATTTCCAGCATACCAGCTGCAACAAATGAAACAGTGAACACATTTACAGTGTACAATCCTTCTGGAATAACATTATCTAAACATGGATCACAGAATCCGTTAAAAGAGGTAGCTTAGTTTCCTGACAAATAAAAGGTTTTATTATTGTCTGAAAATGGCATGCACCTTTTAAATAAATATTTCTGTGACATCCTTAAAAGAAATCTTCAACTAAAATCTTCTGAGACTGAACTCCCAGCCACCAGCATAAAAACAGATGACTGTTTTAATTAACAACCATAACAGGCATAACAATTCAAATAATTATTATTTATTCAACACATATTTTCAGCGCTAAAACTATTCTGCGGAGGCTAGCAGATTAGGGAAGCTTATTAAGACATTATATATTGAATGATCTAACGATCACTGCCTTGTTGCTTTATTAGGATCGCTTTATTAATAGAATAATCATTAGACTGTTGGCCTGAGGCAACTGGGATCAAATGTTCAGTCACCAAATGCACCAGCCTATCTTGGGCCAGTCACTCTCTCTTTTCACCTTAAATCACAGGATTATTTTAAAAATTAAAGTGAGTGGAGGATAAGTAAGATATAAATGCAATAAATAACTGCATCCGTGTATAGCGGTGTCTGGTTTTCATAGGATGATCAGGGCATTGCTTTCTGTGGCTATGTATCCTGTGAAAAAGGCAGCCCCAATTCTTTTACAGCCACAATCCCTATGTGACATTATAGCCAAAACCCTCCTCACTGGTATTCATCAATGTTTTCATCCTCTTCAGAAGACATCACTTCAGCTGTGTTAGTGGTTTTTCTGCATAAACAAAAAGTGAAAATCAGTCCTTTCCATCTCCATTTTATTCTTCAGTTACATCTACATCTGGAACTGGAGTCACCCTTTTCTCCGCAGAATTTCTTTCACAGAAAATTAACATCCTATGTGACTCAAATCCAAGTTTTACAAAGACCGTATGGCACTGCATGTTAATTCAGTTTCAAATTCCATGTTACTTTCTGACTCGGTGAAGTCTATAATGGTCTTTTTGACATGGGTTCCAGGGAAAGCATCAGGGGTTGGCACTGTTGGGTCCCTGCTAGACCTACATCCTATAGAAACCCTTTCCCTGGCTCTGCCACTTTTCCACTTGATGCCAGTGATTAAATAGAGCAGATAAATGGGCAGTGGCAAGAGAAGGGTATCTGGCACAACTGCTACTTGCCTTGCTCTCTGCTTTCCAGTGTTGGGAAACTGATTAAGCATGATGGCAGGGACAAGAACAAGGAAGCTAATCCCAAACATGGAGCTATCACCAAACCCCCTTCCATCCCTCCTCTTCTAAAAGCTTGAAGGAGATAGGGCTGACTAGGAATATGGGAGCCAAGTGTAGATTTCCCCTTTTTCATAGCAGCTTAGAACATCTGTTGAAAGCTTATGATGATCTTTCTGGATGAATGTGCTCTAGCCCCTATTGTCTGAGAACCAAGGCTACTATTAAAATTTTGCACAGCAGTTCCAGGTCTTCTCTCAGCACATTTCTTAAATGTCCTGTCAAAATAATACAGTGGTACCTC